CCACTGCATTCCAACCTGGGCAACAGAGCAAGAAGCTGTCAGAAAAAAAAAAAAAAAAAAAAGATGAGGAAACAGACTTGGAGAGGTTAAGCATCCTGCTCAGGGCCCCTCAGCTGACTTTGGGGCCAAGATGAACCCCAGGAAGAATCAAGAGCAGCATTCAGAGGCAAACATGCAGCCCCCTTTCTAGCCCATACACTGGTGTACTTAACAGTGAAAGGCAAACTGTGGTTTTTAAAAATTCTCTTCCCATGCCACATCTGCTCTTTTTTTCACCTTTTAGTTTTAAAATAACATTTGAAATCTGACTGCCCTGTTTAGGAAAGACCAGTTTAAAAAAAAGTCAGGATTTCAACCCCATTGGAGGTTTATTCCCTCCTGCATGTAGAAGGCTGTATCAAAATTGCTTAAATACAAAAAATGTGTAATTTGAAATAGTGGAAAATGGTTAAGTAGGTAAAGTGGGTATCATAGACTGACAGTAAATATAAAAGGTAAAATAACTGAAAGGCAGATTAAAAAATCGTTTTTTTAAATACCCCAAAGTGGTGAAATTACCCTGCAGTGCACAGAAATGATCAGGAGAGGAAAACAATTAGAATTTTTTTTTAAACTGGAAATGAACAAAAGCATAAAGGATGCTAAATTGTTCCAGGGTTCATAACAATTACCACAACTTCCCTGAAAGCATAGATAGACCCATTTACAAAAACGCTTAATACTGCATTTGAAATAGGAGAAATATTTTGTAACATATAAAGCCACAGTGAGTAAAATGCCTGTGACTTGAAGTGGCTATGATGGAGTCAACCGGTATTTATTTGTTGTTGTTGTCTCCCTCTGACACCCAGGTTGGAGGGCAGTGGCATAATCTTTGCTCACTGCAACCTTTGCCTTCTTGGTTCGAGAGATCCTCCCGCCTCAGCCTCTCAAGTAGCTGGGATTACAAGCGTACATCACTACACCCAGCTAACTTTTGCATTTTTAGTAGAGATAGGGTTTTGCCATGTTGGCCAGGCTGGTCTCGAACTCGTGACCTCAACAGATCCTCATGCTTTGGCCTCCCAAAGTGCTGGGATTACAGGTGTGAGCCACTGCGCCTGGCCCAGTGTTTATTGAGATACTGCTGTGTGTTAGACACTGTTCTGGGCATTGGAGCTACAACAGCAAATAAAACAGGCCACATCCCTGCCCTCGTGGAGCTGGCATTCTGGCCATAAACAAGTGAACAGATAAAAAGATGATTTCTGCTTGTGATAAATACTCCCACTTTGCCACACTGACCAAATCACCTTGCTCTGACTCGGTACGTCAGACTAGCTGAGAGGGACCTGTGAGGCCATCTCATCTAGTCATTCTCAAGGTTAATTTTAGCAGCAGAACCTGTTGTTCAAAGGACATCTTCGGCTGGGCGTGGTGGCTCACGCCTATAATCCCAGCACTCTGGGAGGCTGAGGAGGGCGGATCACCTGAGGTCGGAAGTTCAAGACCATCCTGGCCGTGGAGAAACCCTGTCTCTACTAAAAATACAAAAAATTAGCCGGGCATGGTGGTGCACACCTGTAATCCCAGCTACTCAGGAAGCTGAGGCAGGAGAATCGCTTGAACCTGGGTGGCAGAGGTTGCAGTGAGCCAAGATCGCGCTATTGCACTCCAACCTGGGCAATAAGAGTGAAACTCCATCTCAAAACAAATATAAATAAATAAATAAATAAATACATAAATAAAGGACATCTTCCGTGGTGGCAGAGGTTCTGAGGACAGTAAGCTAGGGAGTAAGCCAGACCCAGAGCCTTGGCTGGCAGCAGAAACACAAAAACCACAAAGGGCCAGAGCTGGGGGGAATGCAAGCCTCTCGCACTGTGCCCCTCACATGGGACACAGGATGTTGCCAGGCATTCCATGAAAGGGGTTCTGTGGTGTGGTGGTCACAGCGGGGATGCTTGCTATCCTCCATATTTGCCATTATGCATCCCCAAATGCAACCCACCCCACACACAGCCTCTTATGAAGAGGTATCATTGGCATCTTTGGCTCCTATCCCTTGGCCACAGCTGATTGGTCCAGGGGAATAAATCAGACCTAGGCTAGACCAATGGGCGTCCTCCACTGGGTCTCGGGGATTGGCATGCCGGGAGACCAGACTAGTCGGTAGTCAGGGAGGAAGGCAGATACCTGCAAGTGACTGTTAGCAGGCATCTAGAGGGCAGGGCCACAGACTGCCCCTACTGACCTTTGCAAGCCCTTTGCTACCTTTTCTGAGACCTTCCCCCGGTCTCTGTGAAACGCCCTTTTGTAACTTTAAATGAGCTTCCCTTTCCTGGAGGGTTGAAGTGAGTTTCTGCTCCTCACAATGCAGTAGCAATTACATGATCAAATCAGTTGGGAAGGCTGGCTGCAGTGGCTCACGCCTGTAACTTTGGGAGGCTGAGGCGAGGGGATTGCTTGTGTCTGGGAGTTCAAGACCAGCCTGGGCAACATAGAGAGGCCTTGAATCTATAAAAAATAAAATCAAAAATTAGCCAGGCGTGGTGGTGCATGCCTGTAGTCCCAGCTCCTTGGGAGGCTGAGGTGGGAAGATCGCTTGAGCCTGGAAGGTCAAGGCTGCACTGAGCCATGATCTCGCCACTACACTCAGCCTAAGTGACAGAGTGAGACCCTGTTTCAAAAAAACAAGTCAGTTGGGAAACTGGGTCATTAAAGCCAGACAAATTTCTTCGCTACAGGACTTTTCGGAGCCTTTGATATTGTAATACATGCAGCGACTTTCCAAGTTGGGGTCAAGGTATGTGGTATTTCCCAAATTCATGGAATGCCTCACCGAGCTCGTGTTCCACAGAACACCTTTTGGGCAATGCCAATCTGCCTCCCCTCCCCTCACTGTACAAGTGAGGGAATGAAAGCACAGAGTGGGAGAGTGAGCTACCCAAGGTCACACAGCTGCTGAATTGCAGAGGAAGTCCTGGCACCTGAGGCCTCCCAGTGTTCTTCCCATTACATCCCAGTTGTCATAAGACTTCCTTGGATAGATGATGTATGTGCTGAGATTCCTGGGCCGAGGTGGTGGTGGTCTAGTGTAGACACCAGGAAAAGGGTGGGGTCAAGAATTGAAGATCAGGCCTTGGCCAGAGAAACCCCTGTGTCCTTTAATCCTGGATGGTAGCTGTGGCTTCAGCAGGGACTAAGAGCCAACAGAGGGCTTGGGGCTGGCCCCAGGCTGCCCCGACCGCCTTTACAGCATGGCCAGGAGGACGGCTCCAGCTAATCCCGCCTCCCCTTCTTCCTCAGGCCACGGGCAGGCTGAACAAGAGAAAAACTTTTTCTGCCCATGGCAGGGCCCGCCCAGGCAGCCAGCGCCGGGATGACGCGGGCTGTAAATCACCCCGTGGACCACAGACCCAGTGCCATCCCCACGGGTTTCCTTTCCGCTTCTTAATCCTCCTCCTCAGACTCGGTAACACAAAGCAGATTCCTGCTGGGGCCAGCCATGCACAGTGGGCTTGGGGAATGTGAGCCTGGGATTTACCACATCAAGATGCTCCCGCCTCTCACTTTTCCTTTTCTCCCTCCTGAGCCGCTATTAGCTGGAGAGCACTCCCTCCCTCTGGCCCGGCTCCCTCACCCTCCTTGGACCCCACTTCAGCCTTGCCCCAGCCTTGCATCTTGGCTGGCCGCCCGGCCCACGGGGCTCACCAGGGCCTGTGGTTAGCAGGCCCTCCAACGTCGTGGTTTGGCTCCATCCCGGCTCCCCAAGCCTCTGTCTCAGTGAGAGCAGCCTCTGTGTGGTAGAATGAACACTGCCGATCTGGATTCAAATCCTGGCCCTGGCAACTTCCAGCACTTCCTTCTCGGAGCCTGGGATTGCTCACTCATGAGAGGGGAATGAGAGTGCTCCCTGGCAGGTCGGAGGCGCCTGACAGATGTTTTACTTTAAAAATAACTACTTATTAATAGCTGTTGGTTGAGGGTTGGAGCACGAATCAAAAGGGTGTTTGGAGTTGTTTTAAGAGGGATGTGTTGTACCAGGTTCAGGGACTTTGTTATTTTTCATCCTGGTTGGATCTGGAGGTCTCACAGAGCCTCCCCACCAGCTCTGACCTCCCCAGAGAGCTGAAACCCCACAGCCCCCATGACCTTGCCCCCTGTCCCATTGCTTCCTGGTAGCCAGTTACAACCTGTGCTCAGCGCCAAGTTCAGCTGCCAGAATGAGGATTGCACAGATCAGGGCTGCAGGGAACTTAAAGGTGGTCTAACCCAGCAATTTTCAAACCGTGCTCCTTAGCACCCTGATTCTCAGACATGTCCCAGGCTCTCTGTTGGCAGGAATGCAGTAGGTCTCTGGGTCCCCCTCCCTCTGTGTCCCCTGACTCCACTGCACCAAATAGACAGAACCATGTTTCTGTATTAGCTAACACGTACTTCCTTCTCCTGCTTAAAAGGAGCTTTCATCGATCTGCTCCAGCCATGCCATTTTACAGATGAGGACACTGAGGCCTAGAGAAGTCAAATGACTTGTTTGAGGTCACCCAGCTGGCAGGTGAATGTGCTACAATTAGAATGGGCCTTGTGACTCCTAGGACAGCACAAGGAAGCTGCAGACGGCCATTCCAGTGGGGCTGAGCCTGCAGAGGAGTCTGCCACCCCAGGTGGGGACAGGCCTCTGAGATCCCTCAAAGGGGTGGCCCTGGGGATTGTGGTGTCAGTCCCAGGTGTCCCTGAGCTTCCAGTGGCCCTGGCTCCCACTACCCACTGTGGTCCTCTTCTTTCCCCAAACCAACCAAAACGCAAGGCCTCTGAAATGCAGCACTAAGGAGGAGGGGGGCAGTGTGGGCTCTGGAGGCAGCCAGGCCTGGGTTTGAATCCTGGCTCTTCCAGTTATCGAACCCTTCAAGATGGAGGCCCGTGCCTGGAGGACTGAGTGAGGGGACATTCTGCAGGTGTCCGGAAACAGGAACCAGGTGGAGTAGGGGCAGCTTCTAATGGCTGGTCATGTCTTTCAGGAGTGACTGGCTGCGGGCGAGACCAAGGCCACCACTGTGGGCCTTCCTTCCAGTCAGGCCTGAGGACAAGGTGAGCTCGCTGAGTCCAGCCTCGTGGTCTTCTCCAAGATGCCGCCAGACGCCCGGCCTACAGCCTCTCAGGGTCGGATCGGAGCACGTCTGCCTCCCTCTCCCCTCCGCCCTCACCCAGCCACTCCGAGGCTGCTTCGCACTTTGCCCTCTGCCTGGTGGGGAGGGGAGAGCTCAGTCCCCCACTCACTCAGAGCCCAAGGCCCACTGTCCAGCTGCAGAAATTCGTTGCCAAAGATTCGACAGAGACACTGAAGGAAATGGGGTGATGAAACCCCACAGCGAAAAGCCACACCGTTGCTCTGTGACTTTTGCTCCTCCTGTTGCCTGAGCCCCATCTCAAGCCGAAGATGAGTAAGCGGTTCTGCCAGGAGCTCATGGAAGGGATGGGCATTTGATGAGCCCTGGGGCACCGGGCCCTCTGACCTGGTGCTCTCTCTCCACCAGGCCTTGCACTGACTGAGTGCAAGACAAGTCTTAGGGGCTGTGAGAGGGAGGCTGGGGTGCCTGGGCAGGGCCAGGAGTGGGGCCTGAGTTCCCCGCCCACTGTTTCCCCTTCATTGGCTGCCCAGGCCGCCGGCCCCAGTTCTCAGTGTCCCCTGGGTCCAGGCTCCTTGGGCCCTGAGCATCACCAGAAGGGAGTAAGCAGGGAGAGAAGCAATACTACTCCCTTCCCTACACCAGGGACTTGCACCAGGGCAGCTACCTACGGGTCTTTGCTCCCCTAGCCAGCCTTCCCTCACCGTGACCCATCCCAGGCAGCCAGCACCATGAGCGGGCCCTGCCATGGACAGGAAGAGTTTTTCTCTTGTTTACCCTGCCCGTGGCCTGAGGAAGGAGTAGAGGCTGGGTTGGCTGGAGCCGTCCTACTGGGCAAGATGGAGCCCCACTTGGAGGACGGTGGTCTGTCACAGGGTGTGCAGGGGCAGAGGAGGAAGGGACCAGGGGACTGGGCCAGTATGTGGACGATGGGAGCAGGGGGGCGTGTTCAAAGCCAAGGCCTGCCCCTTCCTTGTGCTCAAATGGCCAAAGCTGTTCACGTCTGTGCTCAACCATCTGCTTCAAATTGAAGTAAAAGCCCTAAGATGTCAAGAAAATACTTGTGTCGAGTGGACTCTGTGGGTGACCAGGACTTTGGCTGGTCATCGGCTGGGGAGTGTGAGGGAGGGGTCGGTCTCTAGCGACAGGTTGAGAGCCCTTCAGGAGCAAGTGCTGTGTGGGTGAGAGTGTGTGTGTCTGTGTGTGGAAGGGGGTGAAGGGCGGTTCTCACAGTAGTCTTAGCCTGGACTAGTGACCAGGAGGCCTGGTCAGGAACACATGAGGAGCCCTCTCTGTCCACACTGCACTCATTCTGCACCATGTATTTATGAGATGGGGGCCCCTATTATTAACCCCATTTCACAGATGAGAAAACTGAGGCCCCAAGGAGACAGGGCCAGTTGGTGACAGAGCCAGTTGTTGAATCAGGATGGCCTCACTTCAAATCCTGTGCTCTCAAACCTTTTCCAGCCCCATCACCAGTCCCAGCCCGAAGTCTCTGTGTGGCCTTGTCACATTGCTTCACCTCAGTGGGCCTAAGGTAGGGACAATAAAGGTCCACTGGGACTAGGGGAAGGGGTGATAAGATAAAAAATAGGAGAGCACTATCAAGGCAGAAGGGACAGGGCTGGCCAAGGAAAGGGGGATAGGAGGGGACCAGAGGCTGCAGCCATGCAGGACACAGTTTGTCCCTTGGTTTCACCAGTGTCACTTTCTCGTCTGTGCTGCCTGACTCCTGGGCTGGGCTGGGCAGGCTGCAGGGAGCCCCCCTTGCAGTAGTGTTTCTCAGGCTGGCCCTTTACCGAGGACCGTAGTGTCCATGCTGTCCTGGATCCCTGGACTGGCACAGAAACAGGGGACCCAGGTGGCCCTGAGCACTCCTCAGAGCAAAGGTGCTCTGGATGCAGACTGGACAGAGTGGGCATGGAATGGGGCCAGGAGGGTCCGTTAGGAAGGTTCAGTCACCCTGTGACCTGGCACAGATAACAGCACCGCTCTGTTTTCCCTCGGAGCCTCTGAGTAACCCTGACGGTACTTCCTAAGGAAGCAGGACATGTGGACCGACCAGCATCTAACTGTTGACATAGAGGACGCTTTCTATTACTAAAGGGAGTGTACTCCATTCTGCTGCCAAGGGAGCAGACTCATGGCCTTACCACCCAGAAACAGCCCATCCTCCACCTCCCATCCCCCTCCTGCATACATACTTCATTACATACTTCCCTTACATTCTGAAGCGTCATTGATGACCAGCTGCCTGTCAGACACTAAGACAGGCAGGGGGAATGAAGAGATGGATCTAGTGTAGTGCGTGGCATCATGGAGTTCCGGGTTCTGTACGGAGGGTGGGACAGACAGGTAGACAAGCAAATAATTATGATTACATTCAGATGACTAAGGTGTTGTTGGGAGCTTCAGGAAAGGAAGAACTAACTCCTGGGGAGGTTCTCAGGAAGGATTTTCCTGGAAAGTAGCCATGGGACTTGGGTCTTAAATAGGGTGAGTAGAAGCTTTCTGAGCAGGGGAGTAGGAGAAGGGCTTTCTAGGCAGAGGAGCACTCAGCGCTGGCAGGAAATTGGAATCGCCAAAGGAGACTATTACATATTGATATGAAGTATTGATGCCCAATTTCATCTCCAGAAATTCTGAGGTATTGGTCTAGGGTGTGGCCTGGTCACTGGAATTTTTACAAGCTCCTCAAATGATCTTAATGTGCAGGCAAAGTTGAAGCTGCTGGTCTAAGTGAGGTCTGGTCTACGAAAAGAAAGTGACTTTGAGCCATGGATTTGGGAGACAGGCTGTGGGTGAATGCATGTGTGTGTACACATATGTATGTATGTGGATGACTAAATGCATGCTCTCCTCTCCTTTCCCAGCTTCCTCTCCAGCACAGCAACTTGTGTTCATATGCACACACACGCACACTCCCTCTCATGGGCGCATGCACACCCACACACACACTCGTGTACATTTCCAGAAAATGGAATTCTATTTCAGATAGATTCAGATTCCACCAGCAATCCTCTAAACAGTTTTATGCAGGCAGCCATTCAAGAAGACCCTCAGCAAAATATAAATGACGAGGAGCTGCCCTCATGGGGCCTGTGAAAGCGCGTTGCAGTCCAGCCTCTGGTTTGTGGTCACAGAGTCACCTGCACACTCTCCTTGCCTTGTCTGCTCTGAGTCACCAGGCATAGGCCTTAAAGGGATGAGGGGACCCTCTCCAGGGGCCCGAAAGATCTTCATGGGTGTGTCTGCATGAAGCCCCAAGTGTGCACACCCATCTTCATGCGTGTGTGCCAGCCTCCTGCTCTCTGCAAGACAAAACCAGAAAGAATGGCTCTGGGAGTTGGAGATCTCAGCTCACAGGCCAAGCTTTGCAAGACTCTCCAAAGACTGCCCACAGACTATGCTGCTTCCTGGGTCTGGCTTGAGACTATCCCAGAAGAGAGGGTTAAGTTCTGGAGATGAGGTTTTGAGCAAGTGTCCATCTCCCCACACCATGCTCCTTCCTGTCTCCATGGCCACATCCTTCAAGGCTCTGTGCTGTTCTCTTTTTTCTGGATTTCTCCACCTCCACCAAATTCCCCTTTCTCACCGCTAGCGGAGGCATGAGTAGGCAGGTCCCAGGGGCCGGGAACTGGGTAGCATTGCCATGTGCAGGTACAAACAGAACTCTGCTCAAGAGCTTGCCGGTGAGCCTGGATAGAGGCACAGGTGCAGCTAATTAGGATAAGACAGGGGCCGCGCTGTGGTCAGCCACGGGAAGCCGGCTAGGGGGCTGGAGTTGGGGTTACACCTGCATCCCTCCTATGCTGCTTCCAGAGCCACGAAGTGGTCACTGCCAGCCGTCCAGGCAACAAACAGCAAGACTCAGACATCTTCAAGGACACCCTTCGAGTGGATTTGTACTGTCGTCGTTCTCTTCTTGCCCTCTTGCTGCCCTGACACCTTCACAGCTGCTTTCTGTTTCATGGTTCCAGGAAGACAGTGGGGCACAGGGTCCCTGCTTTGTGGGGAGGGGCTGGCTTCACCCTTTGCCCCCGGGTTTTGCTGTCCCACGTGTCTCCCTTCTGGTGACCCAGACCCCAGACAAATTATGCCTACCTCCCTGAAGCCAGGCACCCCGAGGAACTTGGACAAACAATGACAGTGTTTTCCAGAACTGTGGGTATGTGTCTAATCTCAGATGGTACTATAAATTCCTGGAGAGTAAAGTTTGGATCTAATTCAACCCCCAATCCTTGAAAGGGCCTTCTTGCTAAGTGTATATATTGGTTTCTTTGCTGAATGAATGAATAAAACATGGAAAATGTGGTAATTCACTCATTTTTGTTTTCTTCCTTCCACAAATAACTCCCAAGCATCTAATTTGTTCAAGACCCGGAGAAAACAGGACCCGGGCCAGGTGATCTTTTATATGGCTTTGGAGAGGCTTGAAGGGAGAGGGGCTTAGAGCCGAGAGAAGCCTGGCCATGGACTTTTTGCTGTTTATGTGGCCGAGCCTTTGAGAGCTGAGCGAAGAGGACAGCATTGCGACACAGGTGCCGGCACACAGGCTGTGAACGAACGGTTGTTGAATGTGGAGATGAATGAGTGAATGGAGGACAGCATCGCGGCACACGTGCCGGCACACAGGCTCTGAACGAACGGTTGTTGAATGTGGAGATGAATGAGTGAACGTCGCCTCCTTACAGCCCCACCTCGGACATCACTAACCAACAGTGGCTGTTTTTCTGGAGGGGTTCCCACGCTGCCTGAATTCCGCTCCAGACAATGCTCCAAGCAGTTACTACTAATCAATTGGAGAGATGAGCTCCTTCTGCCGCCCTGGTCCCGTGGCCTCCCTGGAGTGGGCCAGCCTCCTCGGGCCACCCCAGCATGGCGTGTTTGAGGCTATGTCAGGAGTTCACCTTCACTGTTGTTCACGGGCCATGTGGCTGCCTCCTGACTGGCCTCCCTGTCAATGGTCTGTCCCTTCCAACCCTGCCTCTGCCATGGCTGATTGAGGTTTATTTCCAAAATTCCTCCCTGGGACCTTCGCCTCCAGACTACAGCCCAGGCTCCTTAGCTGCCCATCATGATGGTCTCATGTGCCCTCCAGGTCCACAATATCTCCCTGTCACCACCAGGTCTCGGCATGCCCACAGCTTGGCCCTCTGGAGGTGGTGGCTGAATCCCATCCTCAGATATCGTTAATCACTAACAGCCCCTCTTCCTCAGCCATGGCCCTGTGTCCTTCTCTCTGGCTGCCCATGAAACAAGATTCTTTCTGACCTTAATGTTTGCTGCAAAGGAAACAGTTCCTTTTTGTCCTAATATTACCCGTCATTGTGTCCCGCCTAGCGCCTGGGTCCCTGGGGAACTCTAGTTCTTTCAATCAGCGGACGGAGAGGCCCTACTTAACCTGACAGCAACAACCTCAGTGGTCGCCTTTCTGCTCCCGGAGCTCATCTTTTTTCACATGTAAATAAGAACATCTCCACTCCCGGGCACCATGTTCAGTGGGAAGCCAGCCAGCATTGCCCATGTCTCTGAGGATTTTCGAGGGACTTACTTCCTTGGCTTTGATCTTTGGGGTCTACTGAATTCATCTCTTGCTCAGGGGCCCCCTAAGGCTGCTTCCTTCTCTCTACCTTGCGGCCCTCAAGAGAACACAGACACCTTTCCTCGATTTCCCCAAAATGTCCCTCACCCAAGGCAGTGTGTGGAGAGGAATTATTTTTTCCATTCCTGATGAATTTTTTTAAATGCTTACACGCGTGAAAAAACAAACAGGACCTTGCCTTTTACTTCCTAACTTACGCAGCTAATTTCATGTATTTTTGACAGGTTCATCATGTTTCCGGCATTTGTAACTTTTTTCCCCTCTGGCTTCACTCCCTGGTGCTACATTTCTGGGCTGTGACTCACCCGAGGTTGTCCCACAGCTGGCACTGAAATCTAGTATTTTTTCTTCATTCTAACATCTTCCCCTGCCCCACTCCATGCCCATCACCACCAATATGGTGGCTAATGGATAGACTATGAGCAAATACAGCAGCTGGTGAGGGCGCTC